CCTGAAGAGGCTGGAGGCGCTGCTCGCACTGCGGAACTTGGCCTCGGCGCCCGGAGCGGCAGAGATGTACCGCCCACTGCCGTTGGTGAGTCCTCCTGTGGGGGACAGGACAGAGCCACTTAGGACAGTCCTTAAGGACAGCCAGAGAGGGAGCGCCATCCTGCACAGAAGCCCACATCAATGCTGGTTTCTTCCGTTCTGCTCTTTGCTTAGACTCGATTCTATGAGCACTGAGACTTGCATAAGGCCGCCGCAGCAAGCCTGGAGGGAAGCCTGCGCTAGGGAGCACAGACCGCGACTAAGCGTGAAGCAGCAAGCGGCGGGCGCCCAGGGGAGCGAGAGTGCGCCGGCCACACGCACCCAGCAGCTGAGTGCCACCGCCAACCTCCCAGGGAACGACACACACCCAGGCCTCGGCGGTTTCCACGTCCAGCTCTAGGGAGTTCCTGAATAACTCTCACCCCTATCTGCGCCCTCTCTGAAAAAACACCAAGATGTCCCGCCTAGTCTGCACTACAGTCTGAGAACGCTTCCTCTGAGTGAATGTTCGCACTGCAGAGCTGAGTCTGTAAACATCACCAGGACGTGCTGGGTAGGGGCTAACTAAGGGAAGAAGAGAAGCACGTGGGAACAAGGTGTGCAAGTCCCCATCACACGCGGGCAGCTCTGGACAACCGCAGCTGACTCCTGTGCAGGGAGAAATGCCAGTCCTGCGACAGACACGGCATAAGAGGAGAATGCGCGGCGTAATGCAGTATGTTGACGTACGTTTTTAATAACAGTCTTTACAACGGGTCTCCTGTTTTCAACTCTTGATTGCAGAACTATACAAAAGGGTATAAAGTCTTGGGAACCAGCAGTTAGCGTAATGGCTATGTCGCTGGACTCCCACGTAGTCGACCACGGTTCGTGTCCTGGACCTGGTGGCTTAAAACTCATGCCGGGCGCATGTGCGTGCGTGCCCAAGATCCCGAGAGGAGAATGGAGGAGAAGGGATTGCGGCGTGACCATCCCCCCTGGGGGGTGATT